TTGTGGTTTTGATTTTAGCAAAGTGTACCTGTGTGATACAAGCTTGTTCTAACGGAGTCTTGCTTTGCTGCTGCTATCTCTCCATCTCTCACCACCATTACTCTGTTTTCCTGTATCGACCGACCGTGCTATCGCCCCCCGTCGGCTTGGAACGATTGCATTTCTCTCTATCAGATAGAAATCTTGTGCTAAAATCGGCAACAACAGTAATAGTAAACAACATCGAGAAATATTTCCAAAACATACATTTGCTATATGGCGACTAATGACCACTATTAAAACCTATTCTGAAAGTTTCTTCATAGGCTTATTCAGTGGACAAGTCTATGACTACATCTTAGGATTAGCATTTAGATTAGTTACGAGCAGGCAAATTTATAGAGCCTTCCAATCACCAACTGTTAAAATGGCCGTTAAGTTACAAATATATTACGTGAATGATCGCAGACCACCTCGACACTTGTGCGCAGTTGAGGAGCGTGGCGGATTTTCCCAGGTGAAAAGAAGACCGTAACAGAAGCGGATTTCCTCCATTCTCTATTCTTATCTCTCCACTTCAGAGCTCGGCCACCACAAATAACGATGGCGGCGATAACGCGAAGACAGTGAATCATCGCCCTCCCCGCCCCACAACACAAGCCTGAATGCCCGTGCGTGTTTCCAGCCAACACCGCCCGTCCTCAGTCTGCCTGGCGGGAACAAAAGGGCGGGAAACCCGAGCCGGGCCGCGGAAGTGCACCCTGATTGCGATGTGTACAGGTGGCACTTCCGAACATTGCAGTAAACACCACACTTTACTTTCTCACAAGAAGATGGCATTCGCGGATTCCTCTCTAGTTTCGAGACGGTGAGACACCACAAGGAAGTCTGCTCGCGAGCGGGGACTTTGTGAGCACCTGCAGAGAGCAGGTAGGACAGGGAACAACAATGTCCAGGTGTACCCACCCCAAGGCCGTGTGTACAGGTATCTTTCCTACCGGTTACAGTAAACAGAGCTGCGGTACACGTGGGCAACTGCTGACGCATTTAGCCTCCACCTACGTCCTGAATATAGCACAGAACCAGCAACTACCTGTCCCTGGCGCTAACAATAGATAGGAAATGTCAGCTGGACTCGGAAGCGGAGGTACACAGCATACCGTGCAAGGCGACTTCCCGAAACATGTAATTACCCAATCAAAACGGGTATTTACAAAAGCAGCCAGAGAGAAACTGAGAGTTTCCTGTCTAGGGGTCTGACGCAGAGAAAGGAAAGATGACAATGCGATAACCAGAAACTAAGAAAGCAATCTGCATACATGGGCAAAACTGAATGGTAACAAGGTGAGATCTACGGAAACTCCAAATAAACCAAGGCCACATTAGTAATACGGTGGTTTTGGAGCATTCTAAGTACATTACCAGGTAAAGGAAATCATCTAACAAACTCTCGCATCAGAAATGCCTTTCCTTTGTGCTGTTAGATGGGTTTTCAGACGTTGCACAACGTTTTACACGGTATACCATTGCAACACAGCCTGTCCAGTAATATATCGTGGTTCAAGTCCGTGTCACTGCTAGCATAAGCAGTTCCTCCGTGTATATTTTCATACACCACAATCGTTACATGCGCCTTAAATCTTACCACCTGCATACGGACGACCAAATCACGATTTACAAGGACAGAGATTGTAAAATATGAACCACACAAAGACATACATAACAAGAGTTGTGCATGTGAACATAAATTGCTCACATACGACAGTATGTACGTACGTTCTAAAACATACTGCACTGGGAGGATTTAGGCACCGCAACGGCAAAGCAATGCTTTCAACATGTCATCTAAAACCCGCTGTTTTGTGATCACAACAATATAATAATCTTATCTTTTAACAAACCGTTCACTTCAAAGGAAACTTTGATGTCCTGGGAAGGAAAGACCAGGACTACAAGACCAGACTCCACGGTGTAAAATGAACGACAAGTTCCCTTCTTTCTCCCCCAACAATCGCCGTCGTTCACGGCGTATCAACTTCAAATGAACTTGAAACCACAAACTTGTAAAAGATATTTCCCCGTCAAATCATGAACACGATCTTAGCCTCTAATGTACTTCTGCTTTATGTTGCTAAGGGCCGCTGCCATCTCGCCTATTATATGAGCCAAGCTAGTGTTACATTCTAAATATTTGCTTGTTATTTGATTCAACGTAGCGGAATCGAAGCTAGAAGTAACTCCGAGCTATTAATTTTAAGTGTGGTTTTTAGTTTGGCACGCAAACGTGATGCAACGTCGTCAGTTTATTTTCTTTAAGTAACACCTAACAGGTAGTCCGTTTTTTCCTTTGTCAGTTTGAACCACTCCAAGACAATTTATACCTCCGTTTGTTCGACTAAACTTCTACTTATCTTCCTACATGTTGTTCTGTGAGTTTGCACGATATAAGTGCAAGGCATATCTCCAGTCAGGAAGGATTTATGTATTTATAAATCGCAGTAGATTTGGGGCGATAGTCTGGTATGTAAATGAGGGAGATTAGCACGTTATTCACTAGTTCTGACAGCCTTGATCCGAGTCAGATGTTTCCAACCTCACAAGATAAAAACTAGTCTATATGTGCGTAAAATTATATCTTTTTCCCCTTATGAATCTGACTTTATGTATAAAGTCAGTGGTGATAAATATTAAACCATAAGTTATATCATGTATTACATCATGATGAGTGTTAAAGTTTACATTATGTTATTTATCAACGGAAAGTTGCATTTTCCAAGCATCTACTTATATAAAAAATTAAACAAATTTCCCCTCAATTACAACTAGAAGAGTGTAGCTGGACATAAAGAATGTCAATAAACTATCATCAAGTTGAAATGGCAACACACAACACGAGTTTTTACACTACACAAAATGTAGGGCATGGAGGAAGCTACTTGACTTCACATAACAACGGTCGAAATATTTCCCAACCCAAGGCCTTATGAATGTTTATACATATTTATCACTAGGCGATAATTGAAGAGAAATTGCTATACTTAGCGCTTTTTGTATACTCAACAACATCCGGGATATTAAAAGCAGCGAGCCGCTATTTTTGCCTGATGCTAAAGAATGGAAACAAACGGAACCTCACTCTTAATTCAGCAGCGGATCAGCCCAGAATTTTGTTCCCAATTGAACTCCGTAATCTCCTTCTGACGCAGGCACGAGAAAGCGTGGATTACCAGCGGAGTAAAACATGGATAACATGTGAATTAGATCTCCAGTGGGTATGAATATGCAACGCGATATTTTAAGCCTCGTTCTGTGGGTGTTCGGGACTAGTAATCCCCGCCACACTGAATATACCCATATGAAATTCGGTGGGGTTGTTTACAATCCAGCGAGATATGCAAATCTTCCCTGTCAAGCCAGGCGCTTGTATTAACTTTTGAAGTGTCTACTGATGACATGACGAGGTAATATAGCATCAGTGTTGGGTCGGGTCAGGGATTCAGTAAGCACGGGTACGTCAGCACGCCTGGTGGAGGCACGTCGAACAGCCCCAGCTTGAAACTACACGGTATAGACCCGGGCAATACGTCCCGAGACATGGGAGTTCAGAACTTGTGCAAAACAGACAAACAAGATGACAGAATTATCTACTTGTTTGTAATGACTCGTGCGATCCTAATATAAGTCGATTAACCTCCCGAAATAAGCTGATTAACCTCGCTAATGGTTGGGACGGCACCAAATATCCTGATAGGATTGCTGAATCATACCTAACACACACACACACACAACACTCAACCACACACACATGCGGAAGCTTGCGGATTCTGGTCGTACTAGTATCATCATGTACACACATAAATCCTATCAACCGCTTATCACTGAACTTCACGTTGTAGTAGCAATGCTTTAAAACTCTGATAACTTCCTGAAGTATATTAGCCCCAGACCCTAATCTTTTGGGGAGTTTAGAGTACCTCCTTTCCTACGCCAACATTCGGCTGGACGTATACGAAAAGACAAAGTCCCTAAAGCTGACATAGGAACTAAGAAATCAGCCTAAAAGGAGGACATGTATTCAAATGCACAACAAACATGTTATGATCTGTGGTTGGCACAAACTTTTGGCCCGTCATTGGACTACAGATCAGTCCTGTATTACTCTACCGTGTGACACACCTAACTAATAACGTGTTTCATTCTAAGGTGGTCTAGCTTCGGGTGAACGTTGAAGTTTAAGTCGTTTACGTAGGCAAGAGTTTTATATAAAGCTACGACAAATGCCATGTACCTGACTAGCTACTTAAACTAGTTAAAGCTATATGAAGGCCTTATACGTACTCAAATATTCTGGAATATCACAAGTATGACAGAAAAGTTTTGCAAAGTCCTGCACTAACTTTTAGGTCTTTTCATAGGTCATTTTACTGGTGGACCAACTAAAGGTGCTTCAGCAGCGGGCCTATACCCACCCCAGGAGCGATAATTGGGTCAACAAGTGAGCAATACGTTAGGCTGCACTCGGGTAATTAATTGAGCAGCGAAAGGACCTAATTCAGCCGTCGACCGTTAGTGTAGTTAGGGCTACAGCGATGCATTGGTCGTTTTACGCTTTATACGTCCTCAAAAATCAACACGTTATGGCATCTTCACAGCCACGGGTGAAGTTATCATCTTTCCTAGCGTTTGTTTCTCAGTTGAGAAATTAATTAACACGGATATGAACTGCTGCCGTTTCTGATGCTGGCAGGGCTGCCCTGAGACTGTCCGCTTCAGCCAGCCTTGTTGCCGTTGCGTCACGGCTTTATGGCGGAAAGCTATATGGGCTCATGCATGCATGGCGGGGGCACTATTTTCAGGGCGATTTGCGCTGGTACAGAAGTCGGGGTAAGGCGGGAATGCGAGGCGGTATGTTGGGTGAATGGGTGGCAGCTTTTATGTCCCTACACCTAACACTGGGCCGCATTCCTGACAAAAACACAGAAACGGAAGACAGGCAAAGAGGACGGCACGACACGGTGTTGTACGAATCTTGAAAGAGATACAGACGATTTTATTTGCAAAGGACATGAGTCGGCATGTTGAAGCTGAATAGTGAAGTAACATTTTACGGATCTGACAACTAGTATTGGTCCAGTTAGCAAATAGACATGACTCGCTACAGCTCCGTAAACAATGAATCCAACTGTCGTTACGCAAAAACAAACATGGGTGAAAAAAAACGTAACAAAGTGAAATGGAAGAACCATGAACTTTTTTCTTCTTTCGTGTAAAAAAATTGCAACATAAAAGCCATGAACTACGTTCTTCCTAGATCGAACGTATCACTACAGAACTATAATAATTTTTTCTCTCGAAATCTACATCACATACTTGTAACTTTCCTCTCTCAACAATAATAAAATCTCAATAAATTAAAGTAGAAGCGAGAGTTTTAACTTGCAAGGTATGCGCCTCACCGGCTGGAGCACAAGTCTTTGGTACATTGAAAGCATTTTTCCAAAACGCCTTTTGAATCTTACATCACTACATCATACATACAAGTCTTCCGTGGGAATCCCTACAATGACATGGGCTGACAATTTTCCCTAGTGACGGTTTACTGAGAACTATTTCACAACTTCTTCTCAAGTTGTCATCGAAGATCGAGCAGTAACAAGATTTGATCTGGCTCCAATCGCTGGTAATACGTATTCATGGGTTTGCGATTTAAAAGCGTGAGCGGATTAGGGTGGGAGCTTAGGCCTGGCCAGACTGTAGGGTCCGAGGATCGGTCACGCTTGGGGCTGACCTGTCCTATCTTTTGGCTTCATCTCTATTAAACGAGACACCCCAAGATGTCCACAGTGTGTGATGAGCACAGTGTGGAAGTGGTTTGGACGTTTTTATCAGCGCGGGGGAAAAGACTTGTGTAAACCGTCCCCCAATCGCGCCGGGACGACTTCACAAGTGCTGCCGAAAGACCGTCTCTCCCACCCAGACCCGCAATAAACCGTTTTGTACGACCGTGTGAAAGACGCTCCCTCACAATTATTTGTGAGAAAACAGGAAATCGCATCTGATTGTCATTACAGTGAGAAGCCCTAGAAGTGTTATATCGGACATGAACTGTGAGAAACAGTAGTTTTTTCTGCAATTTAGCGGCCAGAATCTTGTATAAACTGACAACCCGAATCACTATGGGCTAATCAATACACACTCTACACGTTCAGTCAACAAGCAATCCGCTAAATATACACACCTAAAGCCCACTCCAACTACACATCAAACAAATCAGGGATTGGACGACTTTTGATAATGGAACACTGTCCACAAACACACAAGTATGAGGATGAATTGTTCTTGACGGAACTAACAAGAACACAGAAGGGGAGGGAAACCATACGTTCCACATTGTTCCCTTGATTTGCCGTGACAACTTGGCAATTTCAAACTCTCTGCACACTTACAAAAAGCGGGTCGGCTTCAATTTGGCCCGTGATTTTTGTGGCATATAAACTATACGATCTGTACAAGGCACAAGTCTCTCTTTCATAATAACTACATAAACTATACATAATCTACAGTCCTTACGAATCAAAACTGGCTGCGGTCGTAGGTTGAGTATGGACCTGTGTGTCTGTAGACGCCCGCGGAGTGGGTTGTGAAGACGCCGGAGAGTTGGCAGCTCTGCTCCCCGGACACAGTCGCAGGTGTCGCCGCCGAGCCCGTTGGGTGTCCCCCTGGCAGCAGCCGGTTGGTCTCGAACATTTCCCGGACGTTCGGGAAGGTGGTGCCCGTTGAAACAGCGGTGGTGGTCCCCTGACACTGGCCGCTCGCGCTGAGTTCTCCTCCCTGTCCCACGTACCATGAGCTGGGGCGGGATGGCACGGCCAGAGTTTGTGTTTGCTGGCGCGCTTGTGGCGCTACAGTTAAAAGTCCGGTGTTCTGCAGACGGGTGGAATCTTGTGTGGTTGTCGTTAAATCCTGGACGGTGTGATGGTCAGGAGGGGTCGGGGCGATGGACATGTGTTGGCCGTAGATATCGGGGTTGGGTTGTCCGCTGACGGAGCAGTGGTAGTTGAGGGTCGAGCTGGCCGTGGCGAGCGTGTGTTGCGGTTGGGAGCGCGGGTAGGACGCCAGGGCCTGGGGAGACAGGAGCTGGGAGTGGGAGGACGGCCGAGACATCAGGGAAGCCGTGCTGATGTCTGTGCCACTCGGAGATGGTGTCATGATGTTGTCCACGGAGAACCCCGGCACCTGCGCCGAGGAGTGCTGGCACGACACCGCCTCTTGCAGCGGGTCGGGCGGAAGGGGGACGTGGCGGGTCGGGGTCTGGTTGTGCAGACGGCCGTCGTCAGGTTCTACTTTCACCTTAGCTTCTGACGCCGCCGCTGCCTCGGCCGCTGCCTTGGCGTCTGCCACCTCTTGCTGCTGCTTGAGCTGCTGCTGACGATCCTGGTCCTTCTTCACCTTGTCTTCCCTCTCCTTGACGGCGTCGGCCTTCTTGAACCGCCTCCGACGGCGCAGGTAGCTGCCGTTGTCAAACATGTTGTACGAGTCTGGATCCAGGCTCCAGTAGCTCCCCTTCCCGGGCTTCTTGTCGTCTCTCGGTACCTTGATGAAACACTCGTTCAGAGACAGGTTGTGGCGGATGGAGTTCTGCCAACCCTGCTTGTTCTCTCGATAGTACGGAAATCTGTCCATTATGAATTGATAAATCCCGTTCAGAGTTACCTTCTTGTCCGGAGCGTTCTGGATAGCCATGGCGATCAGGGCGATGTAGGAGTACGGCGGCTTCACCATGTCTTTGCTGGTGTGATGGTGGCTGGCGTAGGCAGGCCCGTACGGCGACGGTCTCGCCACGCTCCCGTACTGCTCGTGGGCATACATCCCGACAGGCATGCCGCCGGAAACTCCCGAGTAGCTGCTGAGAGGCTGGCGGTAGTACGAGCTCTGGTCCCCGAACAGCGACGACACGACGCCGAGCGACCCGGGTCCGACCTGGGTTGGTGGATACCTCGCGGGCTGCATGGTCTCACACTGCATCATGAGGAAAACGGGACGGTTATAGCGAGATTTCGAGTGGATCGGGTCTATAAAACACACTGGTCGACCGACCTCACCACCGAATATCACGTATTGACTCACTAGGCAAGACAAATGGTCAACATAAACTATGGTTCCCCCTTGTTGTGGGCAGAGGCCTTATAAGGGACGGCTCGCTCCGCCCCTCCACATCTTTCGACCAATGAGAGACCTTCTGGTGCACAAGTGTATCGGGTGACCACACACATAGGTTGACGTATAATAAAGATGTGAGTGTCAGTCCTTCCTTCATTGACGAGCGAATAAATTAATTGGCGTTTTTTTAGTTCATTTCAACACCAAAGTCAACAACACCATAATTGGGGAGTAACTTTTGTTAAGACTCCTGCTGGGGGGGGGGGTGCCCTAGCCCTCACGTGCAACCCTTCCCCGCCGTCTGCTTTCCACCTCTTGTCAAATGCCTCTAAACAGATTACTTCAATGCGCTGAAGAGGACTTAGCACTCTTGATTAAACACTTTTGGCCGTAATCTTCTCGCTATAATCTAAACAGCCTGGAGGGCTGATGAGCGCCCAGCGCTGCGACATGAGAACAGCCTACAAATTGAGGTCATTGTTAGCCGAGTGACGAGAGAAAATAACGCCCTCTTTCTGACCGAGGCTTTCGCTGCCTTCCTGGTCTCCTGCTCGCCTGCCATGTACCAGCTGCTTCGCATTATGCGTCAGGGGAGCTTCTCAATTTCCTCGGCATTTTTTTTCGCGAACTCCCGCGTTTTTGAGTGACGAACGCGTGTCCCCCTCCCCGGCCGTCAGCCGTCCTCTCAACCCGGGGTTAGTCTACGTGCGATGTACGCTTGAGTGGCACATTTTCATTTGGTCCGTGTTGGATAAATAACGCAGAGGTCCGGACTTACAACGGCGAGCTGTGTCTGCTGGCGGGGCGAACAGCTCGGTCACAATTGTGTGTTTGTTTGCGCGAGGTGGGTTGCCGGCCGGCGGGGGAAGGTGATAGGGGGCCCGCGGGCTGGGCCGTGATTGACACGGCCCTCTCTCCGGGGTTGACAGCATAGCTATCGGGTTACCGCACCTGCACTGAACCGCGTAATGCTGATAGCCCGCCCGACATGGCCCCACTCCAGGATGACACCGTTGGAATGACGCCCACGCGACACCTACAACATGTTCTGTGCGCGTCTGCCACGACTACGGACCTTCGAAATATCATTACAACCAGCCTTGCGTTTTATAGGTCTACTTTGTTTTGTGTTTCATGCTTACAAAGTCTCTCAGTACTAAACATTTGGCCGTACATGAACTATCACACGCAATTGCTCCGACTCCGTCCCAGCCCTGGTGTCGCGTTCCTGCCCAATACACACGTCCGTCGGCGGACGGTAGACCCTGTCGGCCGCATCCCCGCTCTCAAAACCCTGCACAAACTTTAACCTGTTCCGCACACATGCTTGGAGGACATGAGCAAATATCCCGAAGCCGCTGTTTAGTTCTAGACGCTGTGATATTGTAGCCGACAGATGATAGCTTTCTTTTGAACCTAACTGGTGGCAGCGCTACGGGCGCTGACAGAATCCACAAATACGCCAACCCCATAAATCCCTCCCTCTCCAAAAGTTACCAAACTTTGCCGTAATGGCCGCTAAGCGGGGTCAGAGCGGATCGGAAGCGACGTTTCACCACAGCGGAGACACATTTTATGCATGACGCACCTGAAAGCTATACCTGCAGCAGGTAACGAACACCTGGTGGCGCTACTTTCTACTCGTCCTCCAGGTAACAATGGCGGGCCCGCCGCTCAAAGACCGGTACATGCTAGCCGGTCATGCTCGCTGCTTTTCAATTTCCCGTGTAGAATACTTGATCAAAGCGGCGGCCAGAGGTTTTTCAGATCTATTCTGTGAAAGGTAGTGAGATCCATGCAGGTGACTGTTTCGGATCGGCAGAGGCACACGTGGGGCTCGGGGTCTAGTTTCCGCGCGGGACGGTGTGTGGATAACGCAGTGCGTACTTTCTCCAGGTTTCTACAATGATGAAGAAATAGTCTGCTAGCCATGCTCTTTTCACTAATGATTTCAGGCGTTTCTCTCAGACCTTCATACTATCCGCCAAACCCAAGTACAGGAAGAACCTATACATGTATAAGACTAATCATGTGTGAATCATTTCAAGAAAAGTGTATTGACTCAAAATATGTATTATCTCAAAACACATCTCTTAAGGGTTTCACTCCAAGCAAGCAACTTGGTATATACTTGCAATATGATAGCCAGCTCATTTTCAAGGTATCACACAATGAGGCTAAATAAAAACTTAACTAGTTAGGAAATTTTGTATTACTACATGTATTTCCGTCAGCGATCTTGTTGTATTTTCAAGACTGCCGTCAGCTCTGGCATAAAGTACAATGTACTGTGCCAAAGTGCAGAAACTGTATGTTGGCAAGTCAACGGTAGGAAAATGACACCGTAAAAATCCGAAACCAAAGTATGTTCATATAGACAGTGTATACCATACTGCACCTACTCGTACCCGCTTATAATTATAAGCGAAGCCACTAGTGCTGTGAATCCTTTAGAGGTGCATTCATGCAGAATTTATAAGTTTAATCGTTTCTGATAGAGATCCGGTACAAGACAATAGGAGAGACCACCTTTGCATGCTGTGAGACAAAATCCTCTCGGAAAAACGCCTTCCCGTAGCACACGTGCGTGCAGGCCGCACAGCTACAGATGGCGGGTATTTCTGGTCCGGCGACCCAAAAATCCCTCGTTACCACCGGGAACAGACCCGAGCCTTTGTACGGGTAAGCCCAACACCTTTAAATTAGCGCGAGATCGAGTGTCCGTCATCGGCCATAATATTCTGTGTGCTGCCTCGCTGCTCGGACATAATGCACAGATTAAAGTCCTCCCCACAGTGACCTGCTAAACATAGCCCCAGTCTTCCCAGGCCCTACAGTCATCCACAGGTGTGAAGGTGTGTTAGAATGAGAGAATAAGAGATGGAGGGTAAGGATGACGGGAGGGTCAGCCTGGCTTGACGTGCCTGTCGTCTGAGTCAGACTCAGATGTTTCCCAACTTTTGTAGTCGGGTTGTTGACGTCAAACAGGTGTTGAGCCGACTTTCTGTGACTTTTGTGGGCTGTTGATGCTTAAATCTCTCCATTCACAGCTTTGTTCGCAGACTGAATGAGAGTTTCTCTCTCGCGCCAGCCGCTTGTCAACTTCCCGGACAACAAGTTACGCCGAACTTATAAATTGGGATAAAAACTGCCGAGGTAGTCCTTGCCTAGCGCAGTATGCTACCAGAAAGTAAGGGGTCTGTGGTCTTGTTAACTACCTATAATAAAGAAGTGCCTTATTTTCTATTGAAACGATTTGAATCTGTGAATTACCAAACGACAGGACATGCCTTGTGATGGCAAAGTATACGTAGCAAAGACTCCTCCATTTAAATCAGCGATAAGAACAACGTCTAATCGTGGAAGCGTTCAGAACAAAACGTTACCTACCGTATACCTGCCTCAGCAGCAGCTGACACGCGGTGGAGGAGAGAGAGAGAGAGTATACCCACAACGTCAAAGGGGTTCTGGACTGAATCATTGAGGCAACACCTGTAAAGACGATTGACCCAAGTGCACTTGAAACATCTATGCACGTCACACGTTGTCTTTTTGTTGACATTTGCAACGGCTGCGACAAGTGAATCATCAATCAAAGAATCTCCCAGGTAAACTTACACCGAGTCACCTTGGTAACTTGTGACTAGGTGGTCGCGGGCCGTATCGCGCATTTCATGGCCGAGTGAAGGGGTCAGGGAACAAGAAGGGAAGCGACACGTCTGTTACCTTCCCGTTCCCAGGGGCATCAGTAGTGACGGTCGCAGACGTCTATTCTCAGGGTTTGTGTGGTAAAACATCACGCGCAACTATTGTTATAGGACTAAGATGGAGCTGTTGACTCGGGAAGTGTATGTTGATCCTATGATGACATTTTCGCACTAGAATAGAATTTCTGGATCGAGCCGGACAGATTCGCTTCGTTCCGGAATCGCTAAAACCGTACATTTGGTTTTGGCAACTTTTTTGTGAATCTTTGCACTTCAGTGTGTCTCTTCGGGTATATGTGGTATGGCACCTGGAGACCATGTCTGGCGAAAAAAATAGACGTCAAACAAGCACAACAACAACAACAACGCAATGTAATGATGTAGATAACTGGTGAGAAGCGACACAAAACTGCAATAGCAGCTGATATGAATATTAGAGAATCCACGATTCCATACTTTTTATCGATATGCCGTCTTCTTCATGGAAGACTCGGAGACACCCAGTCATTTCATCCCTGTCCAAAACAACACTGTCAATAGCAAAAGTTTTCTTCCTTTTTACGTCTGTCTTATATCGTTGATCTTCAGTGTGTTCAGCTTTGAGTTAATTCTAAACTCAAGATAGAATCGTAGCCTTTTCTGGTTTCTATCCCATGATTCCACTCCCGTCCCATGATGCATCCCTGTATATGTGTAAAACAAAACGCGAAATCAGAAAAACGCCAACATTCTCTAGACCTAAGCATCTGTCTGCACATTTGAGATATGCATCTGGGCATCTAGACAAATTATCTAGAAAAAGATACATTGTGTTGCAAAGGAAAATGCCCTGGTCAGTAGACCCTTGGTGACCAGGTGCTGATTGTCTACCAAGTTCTCCTAATTTTACGGCCTAATTGGAGGGTCAGGCTGGGCCAAGGCAGCCATCCAACATTTCTGTCAGGCTTCAGGAGGGGGATTACAGCGAGGTCAGGGGTCACGGTTCCGGGGAGAGGGAAATAAGGCCTGGGTCAGTCTATATGATGGTCGCAGTGGAGCAAGACTATATTCAACATGGAGACCGATTTATTGTCTTTGTTCGCTTCTTTGAAGCTTTAGTTATTCATCAAAATCGTCCCTGGCTTCTTCGTAGTCAAGGTCATTGTTTCAACAACAGAAACAGACTGTGACTATTTTCAGTCCTCGTAAGCGTCAAAGATATGAAAAGACGCAGCTACTATGACAATCACACCTTTAGAATATCAACATAGAAATTGAAATAAACTTTGCGCTCTG